CCCCGCCCCTGGCAGTGCTCTTCCCCGAGGGCGGCGGCCAGCCGGCCGACCGGGGCACCGTGCGTCGCCGCTGCCCCGGCCTGCCGGGGCTTCTTCTTCTTGCTCTTCGGCTGCTCGCCCCTCGCCCGCCCCGCTGACCGCTTCCCCGGCTCGCCCGGCCCCCCCCCCTCCCTCCATGGCGATCTGCGCCCAGATCGCCGGCATCCCCGTCATGGATGTCCAGCGCCATGACGGCCTGTGCGTGCACTACCTCGCGACGGTCCCCCCGCCGGCTGGCATGACGGTCGAGGTGGCGCTCGACTGGGAGCACCGCTGGGACGTCATGCAGCAGCACTCCGGCCAGCACCTGTTCTCGGCCACGGCCCTGGCCACCTTCGGCTGGCGCACCTACCGGTGGGACTACCGGCCGGACATCTGCTCGGTCGAGCTGGTCACCGAGTCGGTGCGTCGGCGCGCCCAGCCGCGCCGGGCCGGCCTCTTGCGTCTGCTTTTCCTTCTGTTCCCCGCCCTCGCCCCGCGCCCTCCTGCCACGTCCTCACCCACGCCCCCCTCCCCTCCCCCGGCAGGCCATCGTCACCGAGGATGTGCTGGCGCAGCTGGAGCGCGCGGTCAACGCGGCCATCGGCCGCGCTCACCCGGTGGCCGCGCGCATCCACAACCCCGAGGACGACGCCGGCCCCACCCGCGTCACCTCCAAGCAGTCCCTCTTCAATGCGTCGCTGTGAGTTTGCCCCCCTTTTTGTCGCCCCCCCCCTCCCCCCCTGCCGCCGGCTGCCTGCGCACGCACGCACGCACGCACAACCTGACAGCCATACGCCCGCTGCCCATCCGGCCGTGGCCTCCGCTGTGGTAGCGGCCCGACCCCGCCGGTTCGCATCATCGAGATCGACACGGCCGACAGCTGCACCTGCTGCGGCACCCATGTGTCCAACACCTCCGAGCTGCAGGTGCGCTTGGTGCTTTTGCCCCGAGGGTTTCCCCGTGCTTTCTTTTTTTCTTCCTTCCTCCGGCTTGCCCCGCTCCTGCCCCGCTGCCGGTCGCCGGTCGCGCGGGCCTTGCCCGGGCCGCCCCCCCCCCCCTGGCTGGCATGCGCTCACCGCCACTCGCCCGGCCTGGCGCCGCGTAGCTCTTCAAGATCCTGCCCACGGTGACCACGCGCCGGCGCAGCGGCCTCCCCACCACCACCATCAGCTTCCTGGCCGGCGGGCGCATCCTCGGCTTCATGAGCCACCTGCTGCAGGTGGACCAGGCGGTCGGGGCGCTGCTGTCCTGCTCGCGACCCGAGTACGCCCAGATGATCGAGTACAACAAGACCCGGCTGAATGACGCGCGCGCCCTGTCCAGCTCGCTGCTGTCGCACACCTGCGGCTTCCTCCACACCACCATGCGCACCTCTTCGGCGGACGGTGCGTGTGCCCGGGCCGCGGCATCCATCCTCTCCTGGCCCACTTGCCTGCCTGCCTGCTGGCTGACTGGTTGGCCCGTGCCGCCCTGCTCGACTCCCCCTGTGGCGCCGCTTCGCGCGCGCGCGCGCGTGCATTTGCCCCCTGGCTGTCCTGTGGTCTCTTTTTTGTCGTCGTATCTCTCCTTTTCCTCCCTCTTCTCATCCTTTGTTCCTTCATCTCTCTCTTCTCATCTTTTGTTCCTTCATCCCTCCCTTCTCATCCTTTGTTCCTTCATCTCTCTCTTCTCATCCTTTGTTCCTTCATCTCTCCCTTCTCATCCTTTGTTCCTTCATCTCTCTCTTCTCATCTTTTGTTCCTTCTTTCATCCTTCCTTTTCCTCTCCTCTCGTCTCCTCTCCCCCCCCCCTCCCCCATTCGGCCCCGTCTCACCCCGGCCCATCCCATGCGCCGACACGCCCACGGCGAAAAAAACAGTCACCGTGTGGCGCGCATTCGACGTGCCGATCGAGCAGCTCAAGACCATCGTCCTGAAGATCGCCCAGCTCCTGCAACAGTCGCATGCCGAGGCGCCGGCCGCACGGCCGGCGCGCCAGCTCCTGGCCGTGTCCTGTCCGGCCCCGGTCCCGGCCAAGGGCGGCAAGAAGGCCGCCGACCAGCAGCCGGCCCAGCCGCAGCAGACCCTGCCGTACCTGCTGCTGACGGTGGCCGGCGATGCGCCCGACGCCGAGGCGCTTGCCACCGCCGCCTCGGACGCCCTGGTCTCCGCGGTGCAGGGGCCCCTGCCGAACACCTGCTATCGGATCGCCGTCCCGCCGGCGGCCGGCGGCGGGGGCCGCGGGCGTGGGGCCGCGGCGGCCGCCCCGGCCGCTGCGCCGCTCGCCTCGATTTGCTGCCAGGGGACCATCGCCTCGCAGGCCGAGCTGGATCATGTCCTCCAGGCCTGGGGTGCTTCGCGACAGCTCCACCTGTGCTGATGCGCCGGCCGCAGGCCCCCTTGCATGGGGGCTCGCCCGCGCCTCGGCTGTCCTCTCCCCCGCGCCTGGCCCGGGAAAATACACGCTAGCATGGCCCTCCCCCCCCCCTCCCCTCGTCCCTTTGTCCACTTGTCCCCTCGTCCCCGGACACACGGAGTGCGCCCCGCCCCTGGGGCACCCACAGAGCATCTTTCGGCAGGCCGGCCGGCCCGGCTGCGTGTGTATCAGGGAAATGGGGGGGGGGGCGCGAATGGGCGGAAAGTGGGAGGAAGCCCCCCCGCCCGCGGGGGCGTGCACATCAACAATCACTCCCACTCGATGGTGGCCGGGGGCTTGGGGCTCACATCGACCACAACCCTCCCGACGCCCGGGACCTCGGCCAGGATGCGCCGGGACACCTCATCCACCAGGTCATGCGGCAGGTCCACCGACACGGCGTCGATGTAATCCCCGGTCGACACGGCGCGCAGGACAACCACCCCGGCGTAGCGCCGGCGCCGGCTCTGGTGGTGGTCGCTGGCGGCGCCGCCCCGGGCCATGGTCACGCCGACGGCCCGGACCGAGGGCAGCAGCACGGCGAAGGCCTGGCCGATCTGCCGGCGCAGGCTGGCCGGGCGCCGGGGGTCCGCCAGGGCCGCCTGCAGGATGGCATCCGCGCGGCGCAGGCGCGCCAGGCGCCGGCGCGTCAGCGGCGCATTCACCACCCGGATGGCCAGCCCCGGGCCGGGGAAGGGCCGGCGCCAGACCGACGCCGCCGGCAGGCCCAGGCACAGGGCCCCCAGGCCGCGGACCTCATGCTTGAACAGCAGCCGCAGCGGCTCCAGCAGCTGCAGGGCCAGCCGCTCCGGCAGGCCGCCCACATTGTGGTGGGACTTGACCGACGGCGCGCCGCCGGCGCTGAGGCCCTCCTCCTCGTCGGAGGACGAGGCCGCCGAGTCGTACTCCTGCTCGGCCGGCTGCTCCGTCTCGGTGGTCGCCTGGCCGGGGGGGAGGGGCGCGGCTGCCGAGACGCTGCTGGCCGATGGGGCCGACTCGATGACATCCGTGTAGAGGGTCCCCTGCAGGAGGTATGCCGCCTCGGGGATGAGCTTGGACTGCTGCTCGAAGGTGTCGATGAAGGTGTGGCCGATGATCATGCGCTTCTTCTCGGGCGCGATGACCTGCACGGTGGGTGGGTGCAGGCCAGGGGGGGGGGTGCATTTGCAGGGCGTGGGCAGGGGTGTCAGCAGGGGGTTGGGTATCTGCCCTCGGGTCGAAGGGAGAGGATGCCCAGGAGGGGGGTGATAGAGGGAGGAGAGGAAAAGGAGAGGCGGAGACACAGAGAGAGGCGGAGACACAGAGAAAGGCGGAGACACAGAGAGAGGCAGAGACACAGAGAGAGGCAGAGACACAGAGAGAGGCAGAGACACAGAGAGAGGCAGAGACACAAAGAGAGGCAGAGACACAAGGAGAGGCGGAGACACAGAGAGAGGCGGAGAGACGCACATTGTCCAGGGCCGACAGGAAAGTGTCGGACGCATCGACCACACGGAGCTCCGCATCACCAAGCACCGACTTCAGCAGGCACGACGCCTCGGCCACCTCGTTCTGCCGCAGGCAGCCGTGGTCCACAAGAATGGCGTGGAAGCTGGACCCCCGCCGGCGGGGCGGGGAGGAGGGAGAGAACGGAGCAAGTCAGCACACCGACCGAACAGGAGGCACCCCAGCAAAGCCCCATCCCCCGCGGCCGCATGACAGCCAGCAAAAAGGCAGCAAGGACAACAGGGACAGCGGAGCAGGGGGACACACGCACCGCGACCCGAGGGACCGCGCAACCAGCGCCGCAGCCACCGAGCTGTCCACACCGCCGGAAACCGCGCCGATGACATGCTTCTCCGGGTGGATGGCCCCGGCGATGCTGGCGGACATGAGATCGAAGAAGCGCCCCGGGGTCCAGGCATCGGCCGCCCGGCGGTCCAGCCCGCAAAGCAACTCCCCGAAATTGATGGCCAGCACCTCGGCCCGGCTGGCGGACTCCCGGTCAAAGAGCCCGGCGAAGTTGTCCACATCGAAGCCGTACGGCCGCGGGGCCGACCGGTCAGCCACATCCGGCTCCGGCACGGTCCACGGCCCGTCCAGCGCGGCCACCGGCCACAGGGCGTCCATCGGCGGAAGCTCGGCGCAGGCGAGCACCGCCGCGCGGGATGACAGCGCAACATGCGACTGGGAGCCGACCGGCTGCCAGCCGGCCGGCAGGCCAGCCGCCTGGCGCAGGTTCCCCACCAGGTCCAGGCCACGGGCCAGGGCCTCGGGCTTGCAGGGGGCCGCCGCGCGCCCGGCCAGGGCCTCCTCAAGCTGGCCGGCGAGCTGCGGGGCAGGTGCGCACGGGGCATTGGCGCGAGCGGCGGCCGATTAGAGGCGACACAGAGGGAGGGGGGGGGGGAGGGCGGAGAAGGCACAAGGGCAGGAGCAATGGCCACGCACCTGGCACGCGCCGGTGCCAAGCAGCATCACCGGCAGGCCGAGGCCCGTGATGCAGGGAAGGTCCGCGGCCAGGGTGCTGAGGGTCTCGGTCCCGGGGCCGCCGTAGATGATGACCCCCGCCGGGCGGATGTCCAGCAGGCCCTGCACCCGGGGGTCGGCCTGGTCGAAGATGTCGGCCTCCAGGATGCCGGTCGACGCGCTCCGGCGCCACAGCCCGGCATACAGCCCGGCATTGCGCACCGACCGCACAAAGCGCATCACCGGGGGGAGGGCGTCCGAGCCGACGCCGGTGCCCAGGTCAACCACCGCCAGACCGCCCACCGAGGGGAGGGGCTGGCAGGGGGCGGCGCTCGATTCCTGCGGCATGCTGTACGTTGGGGAGGGGGAGGGGGGGATGTAGGCTCCGTGGAGGGGAAGAGGAGGGCAGGGGATTGGGGGGGGGGGGGGGGGGGGGAGAGAGAGAGGAGGGGGGGCAGGGAGCTTTGGATGTTTTCGGATCGCGGGGGGAAGCCTCCCGACCCGCGGCGGCGGGCCCTTTTATAGCGCGCGCGCGCGCGGGCCGGGGCGCGGCGGCGGCGGCGGCGCATGGTTCGACGAGAGGCCTGCCCACCCTGCCTTGGCACGACTACCGTCCGTTCCTTGGCCGGGGAGGGGCGGACAGAGGCCCCCCACCCGACCAGGCATCAAACACCATAGACTCTTGAGCCTCATGGAGATCGGGCCGGGGCTGGCGCCAAAACACCGGCGGAGGCGCGACCGAGGCGGCCCCCCAGCCATCCAACGGAGGCGGGGCGCGCGACGGCATTGGACTGCACGGCCCCGCCGCCGTCCGACCCCGCACCCCCCAGCCAACGGCGGGCATGCGGACCCGCCCGACCAGCGCCCAGCCCGTGGCAGACACCGACCGGCGGGCACCCCGACCGCGGGCGCCTCGGTCACGTGTGTGGATCGTGTGACTGGGGCTGACGGAGGGCGTTCGGCTGGCGGTGTGAGGTGCGTGCGTGTGTGTGTGTGTGTGTGTGTGTGTGTGTGTGTGTGTATTGCTGCGGCCAGGGGCACCGGCGCCCTCCTCCTCTGGAGAGGGGATTGTGTGCGGCCTCCTCTTTCCTCGCGCACTGTGCCCGGCCCTCTGTCAGGGGGGCAGGAGCCCCGGGAGGAGGGACGAGGGGGGGGGAGACGCACTAGACGTGCGCCCGCACACGCGCAGAGAGAGAGAGAGAGAGAGAGAGAGAGAGAGAGAGAGAGAAGGCCGCGGGCGCAGGGTGTGCCACCCCCGCGTCCATACTTTGGGGCATGCGCAACCGGAAGGGAAAACAACCCTCGAGCACTTGGGCGACGGCCTCCAGCGGAAAAAAGAAACTGCCCGAGGAGGGGGGGCGCGCGTTCCCGAGGGCAGGGAAGAGGAGGGGAGGGGGATGGGGCGGAGGAAGGAATGGCCGGAGGGGGGCACGGGTGGCAAGCGTGCGCACACCTACACGCGGAAGAGGGAGAACCCGCCGACGCGCAGGTCGGTCAGACCGCAGCACGAGCAGGTGACCGTCTCCCCGGGGTGCGGTGGGGTGGCCGGCGCGCGGTCAGTGGTCGGCCGGCGGCCGATCTCATACTCCAGGACCGACAGGAGGTCCGTGACCAGGGGCTGCCATTGGGCCGGCCGCAGAGAAGGCGACCGGGGGACGGGGGCCAAAGACCGGGGCGGTGTGGTCAGCGGGAGGCGCGAAACGGCACAGGGGGGGGGGGAGGGAGGGAGACAGCAAAAAAAGGGGAGGGGCCCGGAACCATGGCCCGGACGGCAGGGCGGCGCACCAGCTTGACCACCACATCCGACGAGGGGATGTCCACCTTGGGCCGGGCGCCGGTCGAGGAGGAGGCGCCGGCGGCGGCGGCGGAGGAGGAGGGCAGGTCCACGTCGCTGCCCTCCAGGTCGATGGACAGCGAGGGCGAGGCATTCACCTCCAGGATCCACGGGTGGTCGTTCTCGTCGAACATGATGTCGAACCCGAGGAGCTCATAGCACCGGCGCTTGGACCCGGCCCCGTCGGCACTGTTGAGCGACGTGAGCCAGCACCAGGGGTCCGAGGCGGCGGCGGCGGCGGCGGCGGCGGCGGCGGCGGTGGCCGGCCCCTCGCCGGCGGGCGCCTGGCTCGGGGCATCCGGCGTCGGGTGCAGGGCCATGGCGTTCTGGATGGCGTAATCGCCGGCCCGGCGCAGGGACCGCAGGATGAGGCTCTGCACGCTGTGCCACTGCTGGTCGGTGATCAGGCCGGGCGCCTGGCCGGGGCTGGTCGGCGAGCCCCCGGCCGCGGGGGCGCCAGAGGCGCGGGTGGGCTCGGCCCGCCGGGGGGCCGGCTTGGCCGCCGCGCCGGCCGGCCGCAACGACAGCAGCGGGCACTTCGGGCAGCCGGGGGTCAGGGCCCGGGTGCCGATCGGCAGGATGCCCTCCTCGGCCCCGAGGGCGCGGTTGACGCTCTCGAGCGCGTGCAAGTCCACCAGCCCATTGGTCTCCAGCACGGTGGCAATGTCGTCCCCCTCGTTGGCCATACTCCGGCAGTTGATGACCTCCTGCCGGGCGCGGCTGGAGTTGGACAGGTGCGTGGCCAGCGAGGGGCCGTCGTCGGCCACCGACACGTACACCGTGTCGGAGTACCCGTGCAGGGCCACCGGGTTGGGGGTGCCCTCGTCGGCCGGGGCATCGCCGATGCGCGGCTTCTCGTACAGCCGCGTGCAGAAGCGCGCCAGCCCGTCGCTGTAGATCCACACCCGGGTCTCGAAGTCCTGGCGCCCGGAGTCATGGCTGCCGACCTCGGCAATGAGGACGTACCTGGGGGGGGGGGGGGCCGGGGGCGGTCAGCCAACGGGGCGGCAGTCACCCAGGTGGACGCGGGGATGTCAGTCAGGGGCGAAAAGAGCGGGGAAGAAAGGCCCCCGCCGCACGGGGGCCAAGAGAGACACTCGCCCGGCGGCGCGGAGGCCGGGGCAGGGGGGGGGGGGGGGCACACGCACACGCGCAGGTCGAACTTCACCCCGGACACCAGGCGCGGGTTGGACAGGTACCGCTGGACCACCAGCTGGCGGCGCTTCTCCCGCCCGGCCCACATGGCCAGCGACATGATGGACGGCGGGAGGAGGGTCTCGTCGGCCTCCTGGCCGGCGTCCCGGTCGACGGTCCCGCGCTGGGCCTTGAGCAGGGTGATGGCCGCGCCGCCGCAGCCGTCCGGCGGCTTGGCGATGTAGGCATCGGAGAAGGACCCGGCGGCCGGGGCCCCGGGCGACTCGGCATCCTCCGGCCCGGTGACATAGTGCAGGTGCCGGCTCAGGGCGGCCGCATCACGCGGCAGGCAGAAGGTCGTCGGCTGCAGCGCCACCGACAGCGGCCGCGAGGAGAGGCTGAAGCGCTCGGCCGTGGACAGATCCCCGGCCGACAGGCGCCCGGCCGCCAGCAGCAGGTCGATCTCGATGTTCTCGCACCATGTGAAGTAGTCGGCCATGGTGGTCTTGTTGGCCAGGAATTGCAGCGAGGCGAAGCGGTTGGCGAAGCCGCCGACCCCGGGGCCGCGCCCGGCCGACTGCCGCGTCGGCGGGCCCAGGTGCGGCCGCTCGAAGCGCCATACCACCGCCGCGTCGGCCAGCGTGGCCTCCTGGAACCCGGCGGCAATCTCGCCGCCGTTCATGAGCGGCTGCTCGGGGACGCTGGCCGTGGACCAGAGGTCTGCGCGAGCGGCGGCGCGGATCCGCGCGGCGGCCGCGAGGCAGACGCATGGGTCAGAGGGGCACTCGACACATAAAATTGGCAGGGGGGGGGGGCGGGGGGCAGGGGACCGACGCACCGGAAAGATAGTCGCTGATGACGCGCTTGTAGGTGGTATGCGTGTTCGGGGTGCAGTGCATCACGAAGCGAGCCGGGGGGTGGCCCTCGGCGCCCTGCTCCGAAGAGGGGGTGCTGCCGGATGGGGGGGACATCGCGCGGGCGGCGGGGCGGCACAGGGGCTCGGAGGAGGGACGAGGAGAGGGGGGGGGGGGGGGGGGGGGGAGCGGGCAGGGCGAGCGCACAGCGGGATCGTCCTGGCGCCCTCTCACGCGCGTCCTCTTTCTTTCTCTCTATCAAGGACAAAACTCGGGTGCCGGCGTGTGTCTGCTCACCCTCTGTCTCGCTTTCGTCTTCCTTCACGCCTCGCTCTCGCTCTCCTCGTGGCCGCTCTCCTCGCGCTGGCCCGGGCCCGGGCCCTCTCCAGGCCCGGGCCGATCTCGCCGATGGCCGATGCGCGCGCACGCACACCCGGCCGCCGGGCGGCGCGGCGCTCGCGGTGCGCACTCTTCTACGGGGGGGGGCGGAGGGGGGCGGGGCGGGGCGGGCGCAGCGGAGGGAAGCAGTGGAGGGGCGCACGAATCCCAGCAAGGGCGGGGGGAGAAGGGGGTGTGCATGCGACCGGCGCGCCGATCCGCCCCGGACACACCGGCCCTTAGATCTCCCGCACGGCAGCCTGGTCATCACGCCCGGGGGCGCGCGCGCGCGCGTATGTAATACGACGATCGGCCAGGGGGAGGGGGCAGCGGGCGCGCATGCCTGCCAGGGGGGGGGATCAGCGCGCGCCCCGGAACGGGAGTGGGCAGCCGCGACAAACATTAATCGCGCGGCCGGTGCATGCGCCGCCGCTGGCGCCGGGGCCGTCTGGTGCCGGTGCACAACGGCCGCGCCCCTTGGGGCCCCCGGCGCGGCCGGATCCTTGGCCACCCCCCCTGGCGCGGAGGCGCTCGCCCGGTGCCGGCCCTCGGCGCGCGCGCGCGCGCGCGCCCCTGGTCACAGACCAACCGTGTGTCCGGTGACGCATGCCTCGCAGGCCTCAGGCGCGGGGCGGCCGGGCTCCGGCCGCAGAGGGGCCGAGCTCCCTGCGGTGGGGCTCGCCGACCCGCGGCGGTTCGCCTTGCCGGGGCCGAGGCCGGGCGTGGCGGGCGGACGAGCGCCTGGGGCCCTCGCCCCTCCCCGGGCGTGCCCGGGGAAGGCCGACCGGCGCGAATGTGTGTGTGTGCGTGCGCGCCGGCGCCGGTCCCGGCTTCGCGCGGCGAGTTGGCAGCCGGGCCACATTCCACCGGCAGTCTCCGGGGCAGCCGGGGCCATTCCTGCCGGAGCCGCGGGCGTGTGTGTGTGGGTGTGTGTGTGAGCCTACGTGCGTGCGTGCGTGCGTGCGTGCGTGCGTGCGTGCGTGCGTGCGTGCGCGCGTCCCCGGGCGCCGCGCAACGCCGGCATTCATCCCTCGTCCCCCCGGCCGGCCGGCCCCTCTCTTCCGGGCGCCGGCCGGGGCGCGCCGTCCGACTTGCCCGAGGCAGCCTCGCCCCGCACAGGTGCCAACGTGCCATCCCAAAACCATGGTCTCAGACCGCCGGGCGTTCTGAGGCGATGCATGTCTCAAGGTGGAGACGGGCGGATCTGCGGCGCGCGGCCGGGATCACGCCCCGGCCCGGGTCACACGGCGGGGCCTCGCGCCGGCACCTGGTCCGAGGGCATATACTCTTCGGGGGCCGGGCCCGTGGGTGCGCAGCCGCCCGCGGCATCCCAGCCAGCTCCCCCCCCCCCCCTCCCTCCCCCTGCTCGCATCCCTCTGTTGACCATGTTCTCCTCACGCTCCTCCCACATCCTGGCATCCCTCGGGCGCCGGGCCTACGCCGCCGAGGCCGCTGGTGCGTGTCCCCCGCTTTGGCCTCCGGCCCCTCGCCCCTGCCTCGGATCCCCCTGACGCCGGGGGCCGATGTGGCCGGCCGCGATCTGGCCTCTTCATGCGCCCACCCATGCCTGTGCTTGCATGTGCACACACATTAAGACAAACTCACACACGCACGCACGCACACACACACGCACACGCGCACGCACGCACACGCGCACGCACGCACACACACGCACGCACGCACGCACACGCGCACGCACGCACACACACGCACGCACGCACGCACGCACGCACACGCACGCACACGCACGCACGCACGCACGCACACACACAAACACAAACACAAACACAAACACACACACACACACACAAACACAAACACACACAAACACACACACAGTCTCTCTCACCGCCCCCCGGCAGACCCGGGTCTTCTGGAAGGCGGTCTCCACCCGGCCGCTGGACCCCACCTGGGTCAGCACCAAGGCCAAGGTCCCGGCGCACTTCCCCGAGGGGACCCCCAAGTTTGGGGTCTTCCTCGACGCCCGGCCCCTGCGCACGCACCTGAAGCAGCTGTTCGAGGTGCCGTGCCCCCTGCTGGCGGAGCTGATCGCCGCCGAGTGGTCCAGCCAGCGCGAGCACCTGAAGCCGCTGGCCCTGCCGCTGACGTCGCTCATCAGCCGGGCCCTGGACGGGCCGCTGTATGAGCAGCGCGACACCGAGTCCATCATCGATGGCCTGGTGGCGTACCTCCACTCGGACACCCTCTGCTTCCCGGAGCCCTACCCGGCCGGGCTGGTGGAGCGCCAGAACCGCGAGTGGACCCCCATCCGCCGGTGGGTGGAGGCCGAGTACGGGGTGACCCTGCGCTGCGCCTCCGAGCGGGAGTTCGATGTCACCCAGTCGCCGGAGACCGTGGCCAAGCTGTCGGCCTTCCTGCGGGAGCTGCACCCCTGGCAGCTGGTGGCCTTCGAGGAGGCGGTCATCTCCTCCAAGTCCTTCATCCTGCCGCTGGCCCTCCTCCGGCGGCACATCACCCTGGACCAGGCGGCCGATGCCTCGCGCCTGGAGACCCTCTACCAGGTGGGCCGCTGGGGGCAGGTGGAGGACACCCACGATGTGGATCACTATGACATCCGCACGCGCCTGGGCGCCGCGCTGCTCATGCATCGCGCTGTCACCGGCCTGCACCACGAGCAGGCGCTCCTGCGCGCGGCCGAAAAGGCTGCCACCCCCTCCGAGTAGGTTGCCCCGGCCGGGCCACAGGCGCCGGCCCTCGCTCGCCCCCTTTCTCGATCCTCCCTCCCCGCTTGCGATGCCTCGCCCCCCCCCCCCCGCCCTCCGAAGATATGGCGCCACACCAAGGTGCTCAATGTACAATCCATAGACTGAGAAGGGGACGCATGCTTGTGCGGGTGCGGGTGCGTGACGCGCGCTCGGTCGCGTGCTTTCTATTTGTCTTTTCTGCCCACGCGGGCGGCGGCAGCGAGGGGAATGACGCCGGGAAGGGGGTGCCCGGGGGGGACATATAGACCATGCTCAGCGGCGCTTGTTGCCCCCCTTGCGGGCCGATGACCCGGTCGATGGCCCAGGGACCACGGCGTGGCCGGTGTCCTTCAGGTGCTTGAACATCTGATTGCGGGTGGGGAAGGACCGCCGGCACTTCTGGCACTGCAGGCGGGCCGGTCCGTGCGGGGGAGGGAGGCGCGCGCGCGTGTGTGCACGCGAGAGAGAGGAAGAGAGAGAGAGAGAGAGAGAGAGAGAGAGAGAGAGACACGAGTGGGTCAGCATACGAAGGGGGTGGGGAAGGAGATCGCGCAGGGAGTGCCACGTACCAGGAACTCCTCCCCGTCGGTGGCTGCCGCCGCCTGGGCAGAGGCCTTGCCGGCACCGGCGGCGGCGGCGACTGGCTTCTTGCTGTTGGGGGGGGCTGTGGCCGGAGCCGAGGCAACCTTCTTCTTGGCCTTGCCTATGTTGGCGCGCATGGCCGGGTGTGGATGGGGCGGCGGG